GACACTCCATCGTATGATTGACTTTTTCACTCCTGTTTCTCATTCTGGTGCTTGATTACTATTGTGCTTTGTGCATTTGGTTTTGATTGGGGTGTTTTGTCACTCATTATTTGAACGCTGTTGTTATGCCTCGGTAAGACAGATTGGTGTTTGATTGGCAGGCTGTGGGGGTTTATTTTGTTGGTAAGGTTATATGTCATATTTTTGAGTATTGGTTTCCAGTGGAATTGGGAATTGGACTATGTGAATTAGGAGAAAAAATAGAGTTTGGCTGTGAAATATAAATTAAGTAATGCTATGAGAACAGGTGTAATAAATGATTTAGAGAGTGTATGGTTAAGGCCACAACTGCATCTCAAAATCTGTGAATCTATGCTCGTAAACCTAAGCCCAGCAATGACACTGTCTCCATGCTTTGTGCTGCAGCAAATTCAGACAAACCTCTGTGATATATACTCTAAGGTTGAGGTATTGTCAAATAAGGAACCAGCGTAAGTTCTTGTATTGCTGGAATATATGTAGAGAAGTGCGTAAGTCATGAGGTCATGGCGATACTTCGAGATTCTGTTCAGAACAGTCACCTTTTTCACATAACAAATATGAAATTGGTTTTGATTATGTAATGATATAAATGTGAAGCATATAGATCAGATTTTTTTTCACTCAAATCTGTAGCACCAGTATTTAACACTTTCCTGATCTTTTTTCAATGTCAACTCAGAAACTATTAAGAAATGTGCAAAATTAGTATGACTATTCAGTATTTGGTACTTTTAGACCACACTAATAGTTATTGGCAGTGTATAGGAATTAACTCCTTGGATATGATGAATACCAGATGGGGCTATGGCGGTAAATTTAAGTAAGTCTGTCAGTGAGTTTAATGCTAGTTTAGATGTAGTTTTATCCTCCACTGTAAGGGACAGTCCTGGCTTGGAGGGATTAAGCTTCTTGGAAGATTTCTAACGTCTAATATAGATAGTATAGGCCTAGTAAGAATATACCAAAGGTTTATCATTCAGAATTATATAGAACATAGGCCTGTATATTAAGTTTTGTTAGCACATTATTTGCTTAGATATAATACTGCTATTAAAAAAAGTTAAGAATTAATTTTTATGTTTGATTTGTTTAAACTCATTCATCTAGCCTTTATGGCATTAGCAATCAAATTATTTTTACTCTACTTTTTTCCAATGATGATATAGTTCTAAGTCATGAAAATAAGACATCTACTGTATATAGTAGTTTCCAATGTGATCCTTATCCTTTGCAGATTTTCACTGCTCCTACTTGAACCAGGCGAAATTTACTTTGAGGACTTCGCGGCCATCTATCACCTTCCTGAAGATGTCGCCAAGAAGGAAGATGGCTGGGAGACGATATGTGAGAATGGACAGCTTCGAGGGAGGCTGAAGGTCAGTGGAAAGTTTATATTAGTTTGTGTCAGGGAAAGTAATGTTTGTATATAGGTTTGCATTTACTGACGGCCTCTTTTTCTTCCAGGATTGCATTTATTGACAGCCTCTTTTTCTTCCAGGATTGCATTTACTGACGGCCTCTTTTTCTTCCAGGTTTGCTCCAAATCACTTGTGTTCGATCCTCGAGACACTCGTGCTCCAATTATCAAATTTCCTTTGCGCTCCTTTGAGTCTGTTCAGGAAAGTCAAGGAGAAGCCAAGAGTGAACTTCTTACTAGGTGAGCAACTTGGAATTCAATAGAAGTTTTTGCAAAGATAGTGCCATAGCAATATGTGTGTTGATGGACCTCTGTAATATAAAGGCCATGGAAAGAAAAACTTGATAAAGCAGTATTTATTTATTGATTGATTTATATTCATCTCTTTTTCCTTATGATTTGATACATCAGGTATTATAACAGTTACTAGCACTATAGTCCATTAAAGCAAAGCATACACTTGGAATCTTATGTTTCCATATGATACCATCGCTTGCAATCATGTGAAGGTATGCATTTTTCTGTCATGCTGAGAAGCCCTCATTTATTTTGTTTCATATATTTTTCAGTACACTTAATTGTACTATGTAAGTGATAAGATTGTTTGGAACTATTGATGTCATGATAAAAACATTTATTCAGGTTGATAAATGCACTCATTTCTCGTGATTGTATTTTTTGTTCAGATTTCTTTATATATCCAGTACAGTAATGAGATGTCAGCGATAGTATCCTTACTTGATTTTAAAAGGAGGGAATGTAGTGTTTACATATTTTATTTTGATTCATAAGCTACAATTTTTTATTATAAGCTTTGCTAAATTTGCTAATGATGAATATTATATTATCATTACTTCATAAACTTCATATTTATCCATTGCTGCCGGGGAAAATGAATTAAAAATGGGGAAAATTCTTTGCTTATTCTTTATATTTTTGTGAAATGTCCCTATACATAGATGGCTCTACTAGTGCTTAGCCATAAACGATTTCACCTTTGCTTGAATTGGCGGGAAAAACATATTTACTAGTGCTATAAAT